AACAGTAGAAATAAAATGAGGGCGAGCACGTTACAGGATAGCTGGTAACGAGCCTTTGCACCAGTGACCTTCTCGTTCTTAGTTCGAGTTTTGTAATTCATTTCCATAATGTTGAATTAATCTAGTCGCATTCTTGCTTCATCTGTGTACATTGAAACGATAGGTAACATAATTCACCGTTGTATCCCTCTGCTGACAAACTTCTATCGGTGACAACTATGCTCACCGTATGAATGCGCGCATCCGATACGTGCTAATACCGTACATATTCACCATAATTGTTTCCTAAATCGATTAAATTTTATGCACACAAGTTCTCTCTTTGTATCTTGCACTCAAGAAATATTTAAGGAATACTTCAGATTTACTTTAGTTTTCATACTTAAGTTACCTTACTTTACTTTACCTTTTAGGAAATACTTTTAATTTTTTGGATCTGCTAGCTTGCAGGATAAAAGTAATGGAAAACGGTTGAGCAACATTTTTCCATCGGCTTTCTTATTAATAGCAATAATCATTAATACTAAAATAATCGTTCAAGACGTGGGCATTTCAAATTAAATGCTGTCAACATTCAGGAAGAGTCTATTTCTGGACTCGACCAAATGGTCTCTCATACAGTGATAATGGTCACATATATCTCTTAAAGGTGGGTGCAAATATTATCGCACTAGGTTAAATATTTAATATGCGATTCTTTCGGATAATTTGTTCATGAAAGTGTTCAATGTTTTTTTCCGATCGATGAAATAGTTCACCATTAGTTATAATTTTTATATTTTAGGTAGCTACATTCCGGAAGGATTTCACACATCTTGCACATTCGATTATCTGTCTTCTGATCTGGGAAATCTGCTGTTCAACGCCGGAATGTATTTGTTTGCTTTCATCTGCCCCGTCACTGTGATCATATTCAGTTACGCTCAGATTATCAAGGCCGTGCATGACAGCGAGAACTTTGGGGATGTGAAGTGTTCAAGACGTCATCGATCAAACGCGCCATCAAGCGATGCTAGTAAGTGTCCGTTACGCATTTCTGCCCATGTGTTCTGTCCGCTATTAGCGTGCACATGCACTCCGGATCCACATGCAGACACAAAATCCGCATACATATGCGCCAATCGAAATTCTGTTATTCATTTGCTAACCATGAATGATTTTATAGAAGGTCAGTATAATTATGACAAATGTTCTGTCGGCAGATATAAGTTTCGTAATGGGCTGATTATCATAAAACTATCCTCCAGTTCAGTATCGTGTTCCCTAATTCATAGGCCATTCAACATCGATAACGGCAACTGCGCGATCAGATATTCAAACTGTTAAACTCTCAGCAGTGTTGGTTCTGCTCTACTTGGCTTCGTGGGGGCCGTACGCGTTCATCTGTTTTGTTTCGTTGCTCGGGCATCGAAAACATTTGACCCCATTTACAGCCGAAATACCGGTGCTGTGTGCAAAAAGTTCCTGTATGTTTAATCCGATTGTCTACGCTCTGATGCATCGCAACTTTCGCCAGGAATTGTTCTTACGTCTCGGAAATTTCGGATTCCCTTGTTGCGACAAACAAGTCAATAATTCGGATGCAATAAGGTTAGTCTTGTTCACCGAAAACGAGTGCCTGTTGAATACAAGTTGCTGCATGTGAAAAAAAACAGATTTATTGAAAATATTATGCTTACTATAAGGCAAGCACTAACCTAAACCTCTAAGATTTATCAGTATAAACCAAGAAAAATAAAACGAAATCTAGTTACACTCATCCATGTATTTTGTTCTTTAATCAATATTGCATATAAGATACAGTTTCATCGACAAATAACACATACCTTCCTTCCAGGGTCACACAATAGACACATTTTGTGTAGGTTGAGTCTCATACATTGAACCCGGCTATAATTATGCATATTCAGTGATGAAATATTTTGCTAACTACGCCAATTTAAACGCGCTGATAAGGAATGCAATATTTATATATCATCCTCACTGTGCCGATTTCGACAGCATATGAAAAAGACAGAGGGGTTGCTTCTTACGTCGAAAGAAGTTCCGATGCCTCTAATTTCGTCAAGTTGTCTCGATCCTTTAATTTGATTCATCGCGTTGTGATGTTTTGCGTTGTGTATGATGTAGGATACCCTTTTGCATTTTTCTAAGACTATTACGATTATCATTTCACGGTGACGCGCTCCTTTCGGAGATTTCCTTTGGTACTAACCATTTATGAGGCTGATTCCAGACAGTAACATATTACAAGGTTTAACTAGCAAAGGTCGTGAAACGTTGAGAATATTGTAGATCTATTGGGAATGAAAATGATCTATGAGTCGATTAATTGTTTAAGCGTGTCCATTTTGGGAAGCGAGAATTTACGTTCACCAACATACAGACAGAGGTTCTTTGTCAAAATTTGACTTTTGAAGGGAATGAAACCCTATCATGCTTGTTGAGATGGACTTGGCGCTACTTAGTCAACCAATTAACATCCGGATAAAATGTGATGGATGATGACCGAAAACTCATGATCAAATTCTGAAAGCCGTGAACGAAGCCTAGGAAGTCACGACTGAATAAATCTAAATAATCGCAAGGAACATTGCAGCGGTTCATGCGTACTTTTAGTGAGACGCTGTACGATACTATACAACTTTCTCAGAATCAGACTGGTCTACGATTGGGCTTTTCTGACCTGGTTGGTAAATAACCTCTGACAATTTTATCAATAACAAGATCTAAAGGAAACGTCTATAAATTGCTGTCAAATAAATAGATTCATAAACACAAAACAAACGGTTATTTAGAGCTTTTGTGAATGTTCGACTTGTTTACCTGTCTGTCATGTCTTTTCCGTTAAACATGACAACTGTTAAAACCATAAACAATTCATCCGGTCGAACAGAGGAATATTTTCATCATGCCAGCTTAATAAGTCCATTGATGAAGCTGATCTGAGATATCACATTTGGTTCTACAAGGTGCCTACGCAAAAGAATTTTGTTATTATAAATTTCTAGAAGCGGCCTACCAATACCTTATCTTGTGAAAAGCACTGTTAACTATCCTAAATTCATCTCCACTTCACTTTTTACCCCATTGCTGACCGAGAGCAGTCTGTCGGTTTCAAANTGTCTATCATCACCGCCTTCTCAGTATCTAGCTCTTCTATGAGGTCAGCGCTTATTTATCAGCAAATTACGTATGCGAGATTATTCTGACTTGACTAATCCACAAACGACAAATATCAAAGACATACTAATGAACGTTCGGAGCGACTGATTCAAGTCCTACACAATCATTAGCCTTCCACTATTTTTGAATAACAAAGCTATCGTGACACAGAACGCTACGAACAAGTGATGGCTTCATTCTACACAGGATTCTTGCCAGAATGGTTGAATGAATCGCTTTATCTGTAAGTCGCCCCCCGAAAAATTGAAGAAAAAGAGTTCAAGCAAAATTCTGTCATCGAGGGTCTTGGAGTTTAAGATGTCATCGACAGAGGTGGGAATTCCCAGATCGTTTCAAACGGTATGCCTTTTGCATTTCTAAACATTTGAGTTCATGATGTTCCTTAGCAATAATAAAAAAAAACAATAACAATAATCAATGCTTTAATTCCAGTTTATTGTTTGGCTAAATTTGCTGCTTTCTATTTATTTCTTTTGCTCATTCATTTTTGTGATTGTCACCTTTACTTCAATCACTTTGTCAGTAAATTACTTTACAATTTGCCAATCAATAACACTCAGCCAAATTAATTCTGTCTTACCTGTTATTTTTCTCAACTATGAATTTCAAAACATCTTATACTTCTCCAAATGGTCATGTGCGTCACATCTAATAGACACAGTTGTATAACAAATCTTTATCATTAACTAACATTTTATGAGGCCTCTATCCACTGTGATTGGTACATGTGGTGTGAAAATTTACAGCATTTCGTTATTCACGGAAGGTGCACAAAAGCTACTCCCTCCTCCTTAACTGAACAAAAAGCCCAATATTTGCGGTTTAATAAAATGAGATTTGACAACAAAATATACAGAGGCTACAACAGCAAAAGACAATTGAATTTATTAGAAACTAATATCGCTTCTGTAGGAAAGAAAACCACGGTCCAAGCCTTGTTCTGCGCCCTAACTACAAAACTTTTGTTGACAAGAATGAAACAGTTATAGTCACGAAAGATCTTTTACTGTAGTATAAGCGTACTATCCAATATTTAAAAAACCTAAATTTGTTTGCCCCTAAAATTGATTAACTATTTGATTTCTTTCATCTTTCAAATTTTACATGCATACTCGTACCATTTCATCTCACCCGGAAAACCTCCAATTAATGACTTGTATTTTGTGCCGTATTTTTCAAGATTCTTCTCAGGGAACCATCAATAAAACACGCCAATCGCGGGTGCAGTTTACCGGTAAAAATGACAAAGTGATACAAAACAGTTGAACAAGGCTTGGAAACAAAAGAGAACAACTTAAGTCGAAAGTTTAATTTGACGAAAGAACTTCAAAAGTGGATAAATCCACAATGATCGACTGGTGGATATCAGAGTTTAAACAATTGGGATGCATAAAAACAGGCGATAGCCCTTAAATAATATTCTGTGTAAATGATTATTCATATTGTGTTGTAAGAGTAAATGTTGGTTGTTCAACAAATCGGCATTCGATCAATTGGTCAACGCCAAGTATTTGTAACTTAACTACCTTTCAATATGATAGATCAAGTTTAGTTTTCCGGTTTGATATAAACATAAAGATGAGAACCTTTTCGTTATGAAAATCAATGGTTGAAAAATACCAAAAAGTGCTTTGAAAGCAATGGGTATATTTATCGCTTATTATTATTGTCGTTACATTTGTTTACAAAAACCCACAGATTGCTGATAGTTTTTAAAAATTATCTTCCTCACATTCCTTCTCTCTACGTAACAACCAGCCAACCCGAATTCACACTGCAACTCAAATAAATACATATAATTCACCTTGATTCGCTTATTTTCTTCACTTTTCAGTACGATTCCAGAACCCGGAAAAGCAAACATTATCATCACGGACGCAAGCCCTGACACACCGGAAGCATCTCAAGGTCATGCAACGAAATAATTGAATTGAATACATGAATTGTTGTGAAAAAGATATCTAATGAGTACACCAAATATTGTCAAAATGTGGTGTTAAGCTTCTCGCATTAGACAGAAAGCTGAAAACATTTTCTGTTATGTTTCATCTGTATTTCTTTCACTCCATCTGCTGAGCTCATCCTTTCGCTCGTCCCCAATAGTAGCCATGCTCAATTTTCCCAAGTTCCAAGTCAAATGTTTTAGAAAACTTCACTGATGCAAGAAACTGTAGCCCATAGCTATTGCAGTTTGTTAAATCCCTAATTATGACTTGGATTTTGATTGTCTACTCTGTGGTAAATTAATTTATTGTCACTAGTGCAACACAATACTCAATGTTTTGCAATTATAGCGCAATCACCGGCAGCACATCACGGTTTGTATTATATTGCAAAATATATTATACGGATTCTTTTTAGTCCTGTTTCATTTTCTTGAAGATTCCCCTCAAGATGACTGAGGTCAATTAACTCACCACCCATTTTTATATCAAATGGTATTGTATTGACATAATGCAGTGAGATATGATTTGAATCAAACTGTGAAATGACCAGCGCATTTTGTGGAATTCAATTCGTGCAGAAGAGTTTTCGATACACCTTCCACCTAAAAAGAAACGGAGTTACAATAGCTATTATTAAATCCGTCCAGGTATACAGAATTAAAGGAATTACAACATCACGTAATAGTTTACACCATATTGACCTTCCATTGTTCTCAAAAACAGCAGATAATAAAACGATAGTCGTTGTGGTGATGATGGTGGCGGTAATCGACCGGTTACCATTAGCATGATATTTTTCCAAAAATCACACTCTTGTAGCGACCGATCCCGTAACATACCCAGTTCAGCCCCACCTTTCCAAGTAATATTTACAATTTTCTTGCAAACCATATAGGAACTTGATGCGCATGGTAAGTTGTTCTGATCATTTCATTCGAAAATATCTCAATAACCCATTTCTGTGAGTACCTTGTATCTCTCTCAACTACACTGCATCGTTTCAAGATTTTAATTGATTCATCCTGCATGAAATTCTTGAATATGCTGGCCGGCCTGATTATTTATTCGCCTAATTTAAAGAGTGTTGCTCCAAGATTGACATAGTTGAATTCAACTCCTTAGTACTCAATTTTCCTGAAGAACAGCGCTCATTATTTATTCATTCTTGGATTATATCAGTAACGGTCCTTCTCATGCACATGTTTTCCTATTACGAACAAATATTGTTACGTATTACTTTTCGAATTTCTCTCGATTGTTTTATTGTATTACCCTCAGACCCTTTGAAAAACAACGACAGGCTGATATGTTGAGAATTAGCCATCATAAGGTCTTTTTTGTAATTCAGCAAGTGTTAGATTGTAAAAATCGTCTTGGAAAAGTAAAATAAAATCACAGGTTACTAGTAACGATTTCATCATGAGACTGGAAACTGGGATCACTAGGATCACTTATTTGTTTTTCCAATCATCCGATCAGCGAGATAACACGTTATACGGTCTGTGTTGGCCAGGTCAGCCTTAGCGTTTGCACAAATTGATTTTGGGCACACAGAGGGGGGTTGTGTAGAGGAATTCCCACCGCTTCTGCTGTAGACAGCATCCGTCGAACCTACCTCAATACTTCATAAAAGCCTCCGACACGTCCACAGTGTGAACGAGTTAATGAGTATACGCAAAATTAGAATGGTATTCAATCCTTTCGCCTATGGGAACAATTGTGAACAATCAGCTGAAGTCCTGCGGGAGCATTGTTTGATCAACCAGGTTTGTGTCACGAATTTTGTTCACAAAATTAACTGTATTTTTGAGACTTTATTTTACCAAACTAAACCAAACGGGTTCTAACAATTTGGCCAACCACTTTACCAGGGCATATGGCAAGTTGCACATATCCAAAATTGGTCGTGATGGTACCCTATCTTTGTGAGCAACAGTCCCGGTGGTCCGAATACTTTCGAAAATGGACGCATCAATGACTCCACTCTGTTTTGAGCACCCCAAAATTACAGAGAGCGCCCCTTTCATTTCAGCCGTCTTATTCTTTTCCGTGGACTTGGTGAATTCCGACCGATCATTCAATATGGCGTTCATCTTTTCTTGTTGTCCATTCGATTCAGTAGCACGATCTGCGTCCTTTTCCGGTTTGGATTATATATATATTTACTATTATTATTTGGGAATATTTCGACAATTGTAAAAATCATTTCACGTTTTCTATTCATTTTGACGATGATAATCTTCGAAACTCAAAGCATTATCCCTATGACACTATCCTGGAATTTTATGTCCACGCATCTACTCACTTTGCTCACACTTTAACCTCTGGCAAATCTCTAGACAAAACCTTTATGATTTTATTTACTAGGGTTTAGGTTTTAACTGAAAAGAGTGAGATTGATGAATGAGCTTTAGACGAGCCTTGATGTTTCCCAATTGCATTTTCTAAATCCATACTTTTATCATTTTTTTGGTTGCGTCCAAACTTTCCCAAGGTGAAAAGCTCAAGGCAAATGTGCAAGTCGGTTCATACATTTTTGAGATCCAAAGCAATCCAGGGATTAAATTTAGATTGGACGCATTTGATGCCCCGTTACAAAGGTTTCAGTAACCGTAGCTTCTAACTGATTTTGAGAAAACAGACTGATTGAGAATGACGAAGACATTCTGACGATATCTAGCTGCAGATACGCTGAGTAAAATGTGGAGTGAAAAGTTATAACTTATTCAAATTAAGGTATATGACGAACGATAGCTGATCAGACTACCATGGCTGTTTCTCGTTTTGAATAAAAGAAAGATCAGAATCAATTCCTACAAATCTAAAGGGCCGCATGACACAGTCTTTTATGGCATACCCTTAGGTGAAAAATATCAGAAGTCCTGAGCCTCCTAGATTTACTATTTACCTATGTTCATCATAAAACTAATCCCTGGGAACTGACGGGCAAACCAAGTAGGAAGCTGTAAGGGATACCTGCGGTATTGAGCCGAATGACAGTGAAGCAGTGTACTACCAAAATAGGGTAGGTAACGAAACTAAGTAACGAAACGAATCTAACAACTGCTTTGTCAACAGTAGGCGTATGATGTTTGTTCCCTTTGATTACGAAGATAAATGACGAGTCCAAACATCTAGTTAAAGGTGTGTGAAGCGCATCACTGTGATCGAGTCTTACAACACAGTTGTTTAATCTGACACCATTCATCATAGTCTTCATAGTCCCGTCCCAAAAATGACAGTATCAATATCAAAAGAAACAGAAAATCTCATTTATCCTAAAGCATTCGTGACTGGAATAAGACGAACACATTTCAAAAAAAGACGACCTGTTTGTCGATTTTGGCTTTCCGTGCGTTGTTGGTGATTTGAGACACAATCAGTTCCTAATTCTGATCATTGAAATTCAGAGATGTCCTGAATAGGTATATCCCATAAATTCATAGGTTTTTTGCCATGTGGTGGCGAACTGCAAACGTTGAGTGTGCGATGCAACCAACAAACAGTTTGTTCACAACAAAGGTAGAAGCGAGCACTTCGATCTATTCGAGGATGAGACAAAACTTGAAATTTTCTTTTGTAACCACTTTATATAAAATCTCGACAAGCCGCAGTAGTACTTTATTGAAAACACGATAAAAGACTACTTGGAGCCTTTATCAAGTATTGCATGATCCCTTTTGTACTCTATTTTAACCGTTTTATCATCTTTTGTTTCACTTAACTAACTGACCAACGTATTGGTTGTTCAGTGAGCGCCATCACTTACACCCTAAACAGGCTTCTCAGTTTCTATGACTACCATTAAGGGAATCCCCACACCAACATTTTTTCAGTATATACTCATTCAATCGTTTATTGATAGTCGGTTTACGCAAAAGCGTGTTGCCGTCAACTAAACACAACTTGTTTGCTTATTGAAGTTCCATACTGAGTACTGAGCACATACGGATAAACAAACGTTGCACAGATCTCTTCAAGAGCTTCTTCCCAAACTACTCTACTTTATGCACAAATAAGTTGCTAGTCAGGATTACCGCTATCCTGGGTGGAAACGGGTTGCTTTGGCATTCAAAATCGGTTGTGACTTTGCTACCGTTGGGCAGTATTTCGAGATCCTACACTGAACACTACGCTACCTTCTCGGCATACAGCAAGAAATCAAATAATTTAGTTACCGAAGTTTTCAAAAATCGCTACACATGATTGAGAAATAAGAGGCAATGACTAAAAAATAAAACATCTTTCTGGTTGAGAGGTCGCTCTTAGGCATTGTTCCATCAATAGAATGAATGTTTATGTTATTATTTCCAATATCACGATATGTGCAAAGTGTGCAAAAACGTTGGAATTATTATGCCTTAAGAAAGTTGATAAGATCATAGAAATAAGGACTGTGTTGTTCAACTTGGTGAACTTGATATCCCTCTTGGTGATTAAAATGTGAAATTCAATAATAAAGTAGTGATAACCTTTCTCAATCATATGCTTTGTGCTAACTGACATCCTTTGTATCATTTTTATACCAGTAAAATCAACTAATTTGTCGTTCAATGTAGACCACACTTGTCCATTAAATTTCGTTATATCATGTCAGCAAACATTCACGGTGCCCCCGACATGTCCGCTAAGGACATCCGAATGTTTTTCGACTCATTCTCTGCACCATTTATGACAAATTTGGATTAGTCCTTGTGCATTAGGTCTAGTAATTTCAATCATTTTGCTATTTATTTCTTCAAAACATTATGTCTCATGCACTTCGTCTTGTGCGATTTCAGTTTCGTCTCGAGGTTCGCTAGATGAAATGTTTGTTAAAACCGCAGAGGTGTTCTTTATAAAAAAGCGATCCCCTATTAGCACGTCCGACCACCATACAACCCTTTTACACCCTATAATCTATGGTTAAATGTATCATCAGTAACAAGTCTGCATAGCGCCTCGGACAATAGAAGGGAATTACACTCCATAACTGATAA